TTTCATGCCCTGCCCTTGCCAATAGATCCTCTCAAAGCTGATCTCCACTTTGGAGGAAGTAAAAGTGAAAGACTTAATTTGCCTTTCACATTGCTTAATTTTAGCTTCTCTGCAAACTTCCCTCTCTTTACTTTTGGCCTTTCTTGACAATGGCCTTTCTTTAGCTGCTGCCTTGCTGACTCAACAGCATGGGATCATCCAAAGCTGATAGAACCTAGGAGCAATGGCTGGTACCCCCTACCATTTATCCCCAAGTTTTGGTTGTCTGCCATGTTCAGTAGGTTTATGATGCCTGAGGGGGGAAATCTCAAGTCACACTGTTTGTCGTCCTGCTCACTGATCACCAGAGACTTGATGAATGAGATGAGCCTTTTAAAATTGATTATTATAGAAAGCTATATTCTCAGAAACATTCCTGCCAACCTACCAGACTGGAACCCAATTCTTCCGATTCCTAGCTCAGTTTTTGTAAGGTCAGCTCTCAGTGAGAATATCCCCTTTACCAATACAGACCAGCACCTGCTCTGCAATAGATAGTCTTGTTAAAAAATTAATTGTATTTTATTTTTTCCAATTACATGTAAAAACAATTTTCAACATTCATTTTTTGAAAGATTTTGAATTCCAAATTTTCTCCATCCTCTCCCCACTCCCTAAGACAGCAAGTAATCTGATATAGGTTATACATGCAACATAGAGTCTTAAAGAGTTTCTTGGGACGCTGAGAAGTTAAATGACAGCCAGTGTGTATCAGAGGTGGCAGTCAAGCTCCTCTCATCTTCCTTGACACCGAGACTAACTCTCTATTAAGCCATGCTGCTTCTCACACCATGGTGTGGCCCATGTTAAAAGAGCTGTTTCTCCTTCCGCCCTTGCAAACCGAAGGGGAAAAAACACAGCCCCAAACTATAGTTGATGCAATAGATTAGTGCTTCTGGGACATGTTTATTTTTAATTCAAGTTTATTGGATTACAGTTCCACCAGGGTTTTGTGTGCCGCTGGCAGCCATCCTATATTAGCATTTCTGCACACACCACCCTCACCCCTTCAAACACCTGAATGTTTCCTCTGGCCCAGTTGTCCTGGGGAACGTTCTGCAGCATTTCAATGACTTCTGGAAGTGAGCTTTGGCGGAGCCGACCTTTGAACACAGGATGTGAGATCCTATCACCCGCCGGGTTGAAAGGAAACCCTGGCACAAAGCAAAGAGCTGGCACAAATGTGCAGGGCTTCCCTTCGCAGCAAGAAATGGAGCTTTGTGCTGGGGCTGCATAAAAGTATGCTAGTGCTTTTTGACATGAGGGGGAAGGCTGAGGAGGGCAGGGGCTCCAGAAGCCAGCCAGCCTCTAAGCCCTTCTCAGCTTGGATCCAAAAGGGTTTTGTGCTCCTGCGTTCCCCGCTTGAACACCTCAGAGAGCAGTCCTTTGATCTGTAGGTTAGGGCTGGTGAGGCACACACTCTAGGTCAGTGGTGTCAGGCTCAAACAGAAGCAAGGGCCGCTAACCCATATGTCAGGATCCTTGCTGGCCACATACTGACTTAGAAAACCACATATGTTTATGTATTTCTTTCTTTTTTTTTTAAATACATCGACAGATTAGAATCAGATAGGAACTACATTTTAATCTGGTTCAGGCCACCTTCAGGCAGGTTGTGGGCTATTTGTTTGACACGTCTGCTCTGGATAGGTTTAGTAAATTCCTGCATCCAAATCATAAGGGAATTATGAATGGAAATCAATTTTGTCAACTTGTAAAACAAATGAGATTGTTTGCCTTGTGGATAGATGGTTTGCCTGATAGCTAGATGTAGTAGAAAATCTTGTTCCATGACCCATGACCTTCCTTTCTTCCCTCTGTTTAAGACCCAAATGATTTCACATGATTTAAAGGGAAATTTCACTGATGGTTTTAATGAAATCAGTTGATGATATATTTTTTTCTTTATGCTATCAGTGACTTAATACCAAAATTCTTACTGGTAATCCTTTTTTAATGTTATATTTTTATTTATTTCATTAAATACTTCCCAATTACATGTAAGAAAAATTTTAACATTCATTTTTTAAAATTTTGAGTTCTAAATTCTTTCCTTGCTCCTGCCTCTCCCCCACCCACTGAGAAGGCAAGTAATTTGATATTTATTATACATGTGAAGTCATATAAAACATTTCCATATGAGCCATGTTGCAAAAGAAAAAATGCATATCAAAAAGACAAGAAAAGTTTTTAAAAGTATGCTTCAGTCTGCACACAGAGTTCATCAGTTCTCTCTCTGAGGGCAGATAACATTTTTCATCCTCGGTCCTTTGGAATAGTCTTGGACCATTGTCTTGATCAACGTAGCTAAGTCTTTCACAGTTAGTCACCCTTACAATGTTGCTGTTACTGTGTACAGTGTTCTTCTGGTTCTCCTCACTTCACTTTGCATTGGTTCGTATAAGTTTTCCCAGGTTTTTCTGAAAGCATTCCGTTCATCATTTCTCATAGCACAATAGTATTTCATCACAATCATATACCACAATTTGTTCAGCCATTCTCCAATTGATGGGCATCCCTTCAATTTCCAATTCTTTGCCACCACAAAAAAGAGTTGCTATACATATTTTTGTACAAGTAGATCCTTTTCCCTTTTCTTTGATCTCTTTGGGATACGGATCTAAGTAGTGGTATTGCTGGGCCAAAGAGTATGCACGGTTTTATAGCCCTTTGGGTGAGTTTCAAAATGTTCTCCAAAATTGTTAGACTAGTTCACAATTTCACCAATAGTGCATTAGGGTGCCAATTTTCCCACATCCCCTCCAGCATTTGTCATATTCCCTTTCTTTCATGTTAGCCAATTTGATAGATGCGAGGTGGTATCTCAGAATTGTTTTAATTTACATTTCTCTAATCATTTATTAATAATCATAATCCCCATTGCACTCTTTGCCATGACTAGCTGTATTGCCCACATACAAACACATGCATGTGCATGCATGTATGCTTGTGCACACACACACACACACACACACACACACACACACACACTTCTTGGATTACGGTTGTATACAGATTCTATTATCCATAAGGTTATGTAGACTATGAAGCCCTGGGGATCCATGCCCTGGGCGTAAACTGATAAAAATCATTTTGTATTTTTAACATTTAGATTAGACAGCTTACATCTAAAACTCTCAGGGCACCCTTCCAGGCAGGTTCCCCAGGAATATATATATTAGAAATGACATACCTACAGATTTCCCTTTTATGTTCTACCTGGAAATGTCTGAAGGGGTTTGTAAAGGCAGAAGAAAGTCTGGGTTACATAATTTTATGGTTATGTCTGAGAAAGGCAGATTTTGAAGGTAATGGCTTGTTTTTCTTTACATTTTTATTTCTTGCAAATGGAAATAAAAGGCAATAATTTCAAGGAAGCAGGACACTGGAAACAAGGAACTCCTAACTTGGTCTCTGTGTGCTACCTAACTTTTTGGCTTTTGGGTGGGGATACTTTTTAGCACGTTGATTTCCCTAACTGTGAAATTGGGGGGGGGGGCAATATTCTTTGTCTTCACTTTCAGAGAGAGCTGTTAAGGACTTTATTGAAGTCATTGAGTGTAAGATGCATTGGGATCCTGGCATGAAAGGCACACCAGAGAACTCACAACAGGGTGCTTAATGGAAGTTAGATGGCACAGTAGATAGAGCTCTGGGCCCAAAATCAGGAATGATATCCAAACATATAACTAGCAGTGTGACCCTGGGCAAGTCACTTAATGTCTGTCTGCTTAAGTTTCCTTAACTTGAAAAATGAGGATAATAATGGCATGTACCTCACAAGGTTGTTGTAAGGATCAAATAACATAATGTTTGTAAAGGGCACACATACACATACAAACATCCACACATACGTATATATACAAGTACATAGACACATATGTATATAGTTTTATATGTAACATGTATTTATGGAATATATAATATATATTATATATACATACATATAACATAGTAGGCACTTAATAAATGCTCTTTCTCCTTTTCCTTCCCTTTAATGTGTAGAGGGATACACTGGCATTACTCCAATCTTGGCCACACCATTGATAATGACTACGTGGTTGTTTTTAAATTAGGATAGTCACCTCTTTTTCCTATATGTTTTCTTTTCTGTAAAACGGGAGCATTGGACTAGAACAGCACTTTTTTTTCCTTTTTGGTGAGGCAATCAGGGTTAAATGACTTGCCCAGGGTCACACAGCTAGTAAGTGTCAAGTGTCTGCGGTCACATTTGAACTCAAGTCCTCCTGTCTCCAAGGCTAGAGTTCTATCTACTGTGCCACCTTGATGCCTTTAAAACAGCACTTCTTAAACTAACCCATATGGGGCTGTGAAAAATTTGGCAATAGTAAACGGTTTCTGAACACGAAACAACCAAAAATTAATTCAAAATCAAACATACAATGAATCTGAGGTGTTTCTGGCAGTGCCAATTGCATCACCCAGACTTCACCGCAGCTTTGGTTCTGAACACAAGGCATGCGCACTTTGCACTGCGCATGCTCTCAGGCCGTGCAACACCGATGAATGCCGCCCAAATGCAAAGTGGAAAAAATTTAAGAAGCCCTGGCCTAGAAGAAATGATGTCCCTTCTACTTCCAACATTATGCGATTGTATATTTTAATATTCCCTGTTTTTCCCCTTCCAACTCTTACCATTGCAAGCTCTGCATTCTGGCATTCTGTGTTCTGAGGTCCCTTCCAATTTTCATATTCTATGTCTCCTGGCACCGAGACAATCATGGTAAGCTGCCGACGGAGCTTGGCTCGTTGCCTGCCCTCACTACTTCACACTGCCCATGCAGAAGCAACCTCAGTGCTGTTCATTTGTTGGATATGATCCTAAAACTAATTTAGAACCACCAATTCCTTGCTATTTATTGACTCGGTTTGACTTGCTCATTTGCAAGGTTATAGAAACACGTCTGTTCATTCCTAATATTGTGTTCATCTTGTTTCAGTGAACATGATCTGGGTGAGGATATCTATGACTGCGTCCCGTGTGAAGATGAAGGTGATGATATCTATGAGGATATTATTAAAGTGGAAGTCCAACAGCCTATGGTAATGTATGTGTGTGGGTGTATGTCTCCCCACCCCCATCCCCCACCCTCCTTGCCTTAGATTTAGAAGCATCAGTCCTCAAAATCTGCTGACGCATCTCTTCTGATTGTTCGGGCCTTTGTGAAAAGGCAGAAAGAAACTAGATTAGAGCCACTGGTACCATTTGTAAGATTTTTTAATGTGTTGCTATGGAATTCTCCTCTGAAGGATTTGCAAAGTTCTAAGTTCTTATTGCAAAAAAAACAACATTACAAATAGTTGCTCAGTGCCCATTGCACACAGCGGGTATCATTTCATCCTTTTGTACACAGAACGATGAGGCTGATATTGGCTCAATTAGCCAGCTGTGCATCCTTTATGTGGCAAGTATATTTACTTCCAAGCAACTTGACTAATAATCTGTCTGAAGCCAGTTTCCCACTGCGTATTTTTTTTTATCAAGTGTAACTACTCCTCCTTAAGGCCACCAGCCTTCCCTGCCCAAGGGAGGTACATGTAGTAGTGAGGTTGAAACATGCTGATAGAGCTTATTTGGCATCTCTGACCCAAAGTTCTTCTTCTCCAAACCATCAACAAGTCCATTCTGTGTGGGTTAGTGTTTTTGTGAAACCATGTGCTGCCACTGAACAAAATTGGATTTTACCCAGACACCAAATTTAAGTGTTTTTTTTTCCCTTAGTGTAGCACTAACCAGCTGGTGGTGGTGAAAGAAAAGACAGCAGAGGGGGAAAAACAACCCCAAAAGTGCCTTTCAAAGAGATATTTCTCATTCTGAGGGAGTGGCTATTGCTTTACTGGTGCCACAACAGAGGCAGATGTGAATATGCCTTTCAGAGACCAGAATTTACTTTCCACACCAAACAAACCTGCTCTTAAGATGAAGGTGGTTCTAATTTATATTTTGTGGGTTTCCCCTCTTCCCACATGTGCAACAAAGAAGCCAAGAGCAGAGCCCAGGAAGAGAGTATGACGACCAATATCTCCTCTCTGCAGAATACTTACAGACTGTGCCTTTTACCTGCCTCCCTTGACCCTGGGGCATGGGCCTGGGAGGATTCCTGAGGCTGAATTTCCCTGTCAGAGTCAGGAAGGACATTTCCAGGGCAAGAAGAAGGGCATGTTTCTTTCTTTTCTTTTCTTTTTTTTTTTTGTATGTTTCTAAAAGAAGTCAATTTGTCCAGATTAGAGCGAGCCCATCTCTGTTCCACCCTCATGATAGAGTGGTTCCCAAACCAAGCCTGTTCAGATAGATGGTCCAAATTAATCACCCCAAACACTGTGTGACTTGGTTTAGTGTTTTCCTCCTTCCTACCACAGGGCCTTCTGGAAGTTCATACCTGAAAGCCAAAGATCTCCCTGATGACCATTTTGAATTTGACAATCAGTGGTGATTAGAAGAAATTTTAGTTCTAGGTCTCAGTACGTTTCCTCATGAAGGCCTCTTTGACCACCTATGTGTTCTACTCTATGACTAAGACATGTCTTAAGAGCACTGGCCCTGGAGTCAAGAGGCCCTGAGATCAAATCTGACCTCAGATACTTGCTAACTGTGTGAGCCTGGCAAGTCACTTAACCCCAATTGCCTTTAAGGAAAAAAAAAAAAAAACTATCTTGTGACTAAAATATGAAGATAGCAATAAAAATTGAAATGGTAAAAAATTAAAGAATTCTGTATTGAATGAATATCTCTGCCTACACAAATTCCCTAGTATCCATATTGCCATCTCCACAGTCATCCTCCCTTAGAGAGGATGTGTCCTTTTTTCCTAGCTCCTGATAATGTTCCCATTTAGGGTGTTTATTTAATCTCAAAACGCACATGAAAAGTCCTAAGATTTATTTTCAAAGTCTGCCAGGGAGCATAAGGGAAGATTGCTTATCTGTGTTCTAGGGAAGAGATGGATGTATTACAAGTGCTGCTTTGTGAAGCCCTTAATCTCCCAGCCGAAGGACTGAAACGTTTACAGAGTGGCCCTGTTGATCCCTAGCAGGATGGAAATGGCACTTCATGCCTGCATCCTCTCGGAGATAAAGCAGGTGGTTTTATTTTCCCTGTTATGCCTAGAATTAGCCTAATGCTGTCAATGGAAGGCAGTGGAAATCTATTCTGTCCTCCCTCCTACCATTCAAGTAGAAATGTAAACTCTTTGAGGGCAAGGAATATATTTTTTGTTTTCATATCCTCAGCGCCCTGCAAGTGTTCATTGAATTGAATTGGGTTTTGTGAAGACAAGTACAATCAGGAGCTCTCTGGCCCGAGGTAAAAGCTTAGGGAATGACGAATCGTCCTTTTTTTTGAAGCAATATAAATGTGTCGGTGTGAGGAAGAGTTCGGTGGCCAGGCTTGGTTCCAGAGCTGTTTCTCCTCCTGCATGGAGCCGTGATGTTTGTGCAGGTGTAGCTGACTGTAATGGGCTGTCTTATGTCACGGGCGGAATGTTGGAGAACTGGGGCCTGGCTCTCTCCCAAGCCCAGCTTGAAGTTGCAGAGCATGGGCTTCGCTAACTGTTTGTATTTCTTCTCTCTTCATGCTTTCAGATTAGATATATGCAGGTAAGTGACAGACACCAGAGGAAGCTCCACCAGCTTTTACATAGCTTTGCATCTTTCTGATGTGAGGTATAAAATCGAATATGTACAGATACAGGGCATCCACACATACATCATTATAGATGTTTGTTGAGTCGAAATGAATTCAACCTATCATAGTGGCTAGTCATGGATCAGAGTAGCCAGGATGAATATGTTACCTGCACATCATGGTTATGTTAATTCTGGCATCAGTTCATTCTCAGCCAACTCTCAGCCCATTCGTTTCTTGCCATCCTGACAAGGATAAATGCTCCTCTTATGACTGTTTGGTGAAGGGATCAAGAGAGCATTAATTACTTATAATTTCAGCACCAGTAGATTATTGGCAAATTCTTTACCCACCTTAGCTATACAACAGAAGAAATTATTGTATTGAATTGGACTACATGACTCTTAAGACCTCACAAAAAGTCATACTACAGACTAAAGCCAGGCACTGCTTGCTTTGTGGGTCCCACTTTCTGAGTCAGGACTTTCAATCTGAGGATTGCCTCTGGCTTCTGCATGGCCTTCAAGGCCATAACTAGGGCTGGGGCAACTGAAGCTTTGTTCCAAAGTCAGTAACATTTGTGGGTCTTCAGCAATGTAGGAACAAGTATCTTCTACTTAATGAAGAGTAGTCAATTAAAATGAGAAGGTAGCAGATAAGCTAGGGTGATTTCCTCCCTCCACCCTACCTCTTCATGCATTGGCCCCTCCAAGAGCTACCCAGCCTTGATAGTGTTATGAAGTCTCTGGTCTCTTCTCCATGCCTGGTGGTGGCACATAGAATGCAGAAGGGTGGGATGAGCAAAGGATTACCCTCAAGGATAAGAAGCATAAGACTCTTGGCCTTGGAAAAAAAAGATTTGTGGCAGGGATCTTCCTGTCTTTCCTTACTGAGTGGACCAAACCTGAAGGATAGAGTAGTAGATGTTCCAGAACTTGTTTTGGACCATGGCAGCACGGAGTTTGGACTTCATTGACTTCTGAATATTTTTCTCTGTGTTGCATCATTTGAATATGAAGCTGTTCTAAAGAAGATCCCAGGGGCAGCTAGATGGACACTTACTAGCTGTGTGACCCTGGGCAAGTCACTTAACCCCAATT